GTCAAATCGATATGAGAATATGACATGGTCGCATTTCCATGCTGAGCTTGGCATTTTTCGTCTAACTCGGGTACCTTAACGCTTCAGTATGATGAAGTCGCATTCGTTTGAAGCTCCTCCTTACGTCTTTTGGAAGAATATGAGGAAAAGTAACTACCGCTCAACAATTCACCACGTTAGGTTGTAAGACTTGTTCACAAATCTGTCGGATTTCGTACCTAGCCAATGGATGAAAAATCTTGCGTACTATTCAACTGCCACATATCGTTGTTTATTCGGCTGCTGAAGTAGAACACCTTGATGCTCCACCGCAGCTGAATAGCAACAGTGAATATAAACAAAGACTGTCTCCAAAATTAAATGCGGCACTTGGTTGGAGAACCTCACACTATAATCGGTTAGCACAAGGGGAAAATGAACAGGCCGCCGAGAAATACATATGAATAGCGAGCGACTCAGTAATGGCGAGACGTCCACTGGACACGGTACAGGGGTTGCGATTCACATAACGGAGACTGATGGCCAAGGCGGTGTTACAGTGAAATAGAACACAAAGCGTAGAACCTGTAAGCATATGGAGAACAGTTTTTTTTCTTAGTCGAGCTAACATGTGGTGATGCACAGTCATCAAAGGAGGCAGTCTAAATCTGATATGCGTAAATCAAGCCGATGAGAAATTTTACGTAATGTCACTCAGCCTAATTGTTGTAGCACTGCTTTGTCGGATGTTTCTTTCCTGTTGCTGAGATTGAAAGACGGGTTTTAGTTGGAGTACCCCATCTTGGGTTTCCCATTCAGAATTCCGCCCCCGCAGGGTAATGGGATAACAAAGGGCCTTGGCACCGTGTGAATGCTTATTTATGTACGCATGAACTAGTCTAACATAAAATACAGACAGATACTGCGGCATGAACTACACTTGAAACTGCAATGAGTTTTGCTGAAACTAGAAATCTGTGGAAGCCTGTCTGGCCCACGTCGGCATTAGAGGATACTGGGAGATGACACCCAGGTCCTGATCAGGTGGGAAAATAGGTCAAATTGATGAGCTTGTTGAAGCACAAATGATTATCAACATATGATGATTCTCATGTTCACAAGAAGCTGTTGTTAACGGATGGGGTTCAGAAAATTGATTGACGCTACTAATCACACAGAAGAATGTTCTGACTAATTGTTGAACCGTTCAACGGGTTTAGTTCCAACCTTGCGGAGCATCCTAAATCGTCCGTACTCTTCAGGGTATTTTTTGGCCAAATACACTCCCCGGGAAAATCTAAAGGTCGAAGTTCATTCAAAGATCCCATCGCAAATTGGTCGTGATAAGCCGCATGTTATCTAGAATGATTTGCTGAGTCATCAAAGTGTTTCTAACCTTGCTACTAAATATGAAGAAGGGATGAACTTGAGGTGAAGTAGGGGTAGGCTAGCAAAGCTAGGATGAGCAAATTGATTTAAGCCATTCATTGGATTGATGAGGTGTGTGATAAGCTGCAAAGCTGGCAGAGGCTTTTAGGATTATTATCATTCCTCATCTCAGGAGGCAATCCTGGACACTTGCTATCTACTACAGCCTGCTGGCTCGTCTGGCGTTGTAAGATGGAGAACACCGGTATATTAAGTGGGCCTTGAAGCACGCCCACAAACTTCCCCGTAGACTAACTACGTGGAAAATTCATTGGATATTCGAGGTCCAAATATGACCCTTATTCGAATTTCGTAGTGGAGCCTTTTTTGACCATCCTTTGGTGGTGTTGTTTCCCAGAATATTCCAAGCTGAATTCGACTATTTCTGCTTCTATGTAATCTGATCTGCACCTGGTGATGAAGTTTAACTGGAAATTCTGAAGATGAAATTCACCTTTGTCATTGCTTCTTTATGGAAGACATTGACCTCAAGCGCTTGAGATGCCTTTTACTCGGTGCCCCGGGTTACACATGAACCAAAATTAGAGAGGTTTCTGAAAACTTTGCTTGTTCTTGTGGGAAAAACTGTTAATTCAACGAGTGCATGATGCATATGTAGTTTAGCGGGTGGCTAATGAGGAGTCTGCAAAATGTCGGAAAGAATCCGCTTGATAAGTTCGAAACAAGCATCATAGTGCTTCCGTAATAGTTCCTAGTTGCGACGTGGGAATAATTCAAGAACCTCAATTCATGAAGCTCCCAAAAGCTAGTGAGTGATATGAGAAGACGCGCTGACTTCTCATGGCTGAACCCAAAAAAACACCATGGGTATCAATAAAACTAATCCATAGAATCAAACCAGATGGAGGACAGTGTTAACAGTTCAGTATGTGCGGACGATGACCTATGCCACACAGTTACACATGCATTCCACGTTAACTTTATTCCACTCTGTTTATTGCATCGAAAAATGATGTCTTCCGATTTTAACAAAAGTACAGACATTTGTACTGTCCGGATGCAAAAAAATATGAACTGATGTGTAGACTAGCGTCCGATGGAGTTAAGCTATTACAGCACTCTTCCGGCAGGCAAATTGTCCTGAGTTAGAGGCTCGTTCTTTTTGTCTCACTTCATGCTAGTGTGTTCGCATTCCCATTCAGACTTGTTCAAATCGCACTGGCCGACCTTAGAGTTTGCTTGTGTATTATCAAACCACGCTACTTAACAGCCACTTGTGTGATTTTGTCCTCAGATCTGAAGGATGCGGATTCAGATCCAGCACGAGCTTCTGAGACTGATCAAATTAAGGGTTCCTTAAAGAACTCACAATAAACATTACTTCGTAAATTGACTCAGTTCGAATATCAAGGTGATGAGCGTCATTGCACTCAGGCTATCAGGACTAGCCCAAGTGTGACTAAAACAGGAGATATCTGGATCCGCCTGTGGCACTGTTTAGCCTGCTCTTTGGGATGAATCAACCAGAACAACTGTACCAGGAGAAGGCGATGACTGTTCAACCGAAATTGATGTGAATATCCATTCAGCAACTGGGCACAATTACCCCAAGACGCTAACAGTTTCAATCCACGGCTGTGGCACAATCGAAGGAAACGGCATTTGGTGAACAGCTAGTTACATACAGAACACTGCAAGTCATATATTGGAATATCTGGATTAATTGCGAATGAACGGAAAGCTCTGTGAATAGCCTTATTCAACAAACAAAGTGAGATTATGAACACAGAATCAGTCATTATTTTGTTTTCTTCCCGCTGACTGAAATGTTTACTGAACGTAGTCGGAAGTGATTAGTATGTGCGAGTTAACCTGAAGAACGTTTCATGTGACGGATATGCTTCGTGTTTTTCTAATCTCATTCATCTCATTTGCTCTACAGTGGCAATTTATCGATTTTTACATCCAGCTAATGGCTACCTTCGTCTTTCACTGTTCATCCGTTGTAATGTATCTGAAATTTCGTTCGCCGGACTAATCTAATCAAGTACATCTGTTCCTCATATGTGATCCGGTCTACTGGTGTCAAAACTGACGGAGTGCCGATGTTCTTCTAGCAGAATTTCTAGGGCAGATGTGTCCCCCGGAATTCAGACGGTTACGCTGAGGGAATGGAAATATTCTGTTTTTCTGAGCTGCAACTTCGAATGCTTTCCTTACTTTCAAATTTTTTGTTGAGTATGCTTAATCCCAGGTGTTTTTATTGTTCTTTTGATGCATAAAACCGACACTGTCTGAAAGTAATTCGGTGTGGAAAGGCGACTTATTTGTTCTTTTCGTCTGTAAGTGTAGATCGAGAATTTTACTTGTATTTGTCATTTTGTACATGTCAACCACTTTGAAAATTTGTTCCAAATTCGGTCTTGGTGTAACAGAACAGAGTGGAGTTGTGTAGTACCTTTGGTTCCTCTGGAGAAGCGGTAAAACTGAGATAAATAATGATGAAACAACACCGTCTTTCGATACTGTTCGACCAAATTGGAGAATTTTCGGTGTTTTTGTTGTCATTTGCCGGGATACTTGCACGGTTAGTTTGCCTTATAAACAAGTATACGTAAACTGTGGGCTTTGATTAATTTGTTGCTTATAGTGTTATGTGCTGAAGACCAGTTCGTCTGCTCGATTCCTTCACTCACTTGAGTATTTCGATCCTGTTTTTTATAACCTAGACTTTGATCGATAGTTAGTCACCTGCTTGGTGCCGGTATGAGGTTGAACATTTCGAGTTCGCTAAGCCGGCAACGCCTTCAGGTTAAAAATTGAGGTACGGAAACCTAGTCGCGAAAATACATAGGGTTCACCCTGCACGTGACCTTCTTTAGTATATTTTCTCAATATAGTAGCTACTTTTTGGCATGGAAAGATATTGCTTTCATATAGAGGGTTTGTAATGCACACATTAATGGATTTATATTAGTTTACATGGGAAGGTGACTCATCAGTCACGATAGCTGTTAGTCAGTTACCACATGTATATTTGTTCGAACTTTTTGCTAGTATCCCTTTTTGTAGAAATGAAAAGTTGTCCTTGAAATCCTCAGTTTCACTGACCGGTGAAGTCAGAACTCGGGGGACTTATACGTGACACACTCGACTCCACATCCATTTCAAACAGATATTTGGCTAGTACGAGCACAGTTCGCAAGTTCTTTGTAAACCACCATAAGATTCACTCGTGTAACCCACTGCGTCTCGGCCAGTTCACCTGGTCCATTCTGACCCAGTATAGTCAATTGCTGAGTCCAGGATCAGTATCCAGGATGTTTGAGATTCTGTAAAATTAGAACTTGAAACAGACGGAAAAAGCCCGAAAACATATTATCGCAATCAGCATTCTAAGACATAACTGATCGAAATCCTGGGAATGCCAAACCCGTCATGAGCTGTCGAAGAGTTTGTTGCAACCGTACGAGTAATGTGTTCCATTTGGCACCTTACTATTCTTCGGACTATTGGAAAAGCATCTAAGTTCCATAAGGCTTCGTGTGAAAATAATGGCCTGCACAGCTGATGATGTCAATTTATTGACATCCATTGGCCTCGGAGGTTTACGACTGCATATGTTCCTCAAGCGCCACCGAGCTGCCGGTCCGGATGACCTTCCACCCGCACTGTTCAAAGACGGGGGTGAAGTCCTCAGTCAGCAATTGTCCGATCTGTTTGCTTGCATTTGGGAAAAGGAGTCTGTTCCAGACAACTGGGGAGAATCGGTGATAGTGCCCATTTTCAAAAAAGGGGCGCGTAGTGAGTGTGGTAACCACAGGGGGATCAGCCTGACCCCGGTTGTAACGAGACTGTTGGCGTCAATTGTGCTTCGTCGCCTTACGGTGGCTCGT